GAGCCGAAGCTTTGCACTATACACAATAAATGGCCGATATTTTTCATATTTTTTTCTTCACACGTTTGACTTCAAATTTTTGTTTTTTTCTTCATGATGTCAACCCATGAACTTGTAAAAAATAAATTAAGGATATATTAGAGTGTCTTATGATATGTTTAGAGAAATATATTTGATTAGTAGTAAGAGGAAGATTTTTTAAATTGGTGTCAACTAAAATAAATTTGTTATACAAATATTTATATGATAAGTATATACTACTATAGTATATTACTTAATTATCCTTTCATGGACTTGGAGTGCAAAGCTTACCATCTTCCTACCACGTCAACTACTCACTCTCTATTATGTAAATAATAAATTGTGAACAAGTGCAAATCACAAAGGCTAATTTAGTCAATACAAATAGATTAATGAATGGAAAATTACGTTTACACACCATTAAATATTTTAGTATACACCACTTTTCAATTTTTTTAATTACAATTACGTCCTTCATTGAAGTATTCATAAGGACACACCAATTCAAGCCTCTCCGTCGTTGGCTATGACTGCAAACTTTGCCATCGGGGTGCTACCAGCCTCCAACTCCCACATCCACTCCTCCATACACCTCTTCTTCTTTTCTTCTACGTCTTCATCCCTAGCCTTAATCCTAATCCTAGCCACAACCCTCGATGCACCTTCTTCATAGAAATTACTATTCGGCTTTTTTTTTTTTTTTGATTTTTTTGTCTTTAGTTATTTTATTTTTTTTTATTTTATACTTCAAAATTCTTTTAGGCTGGATGGACTTGAATATTTTTTGACACATTTAAAAAAAAATCACTAAAGATAAGAATGTTTAAAAAAAAGAAAAAAGAAAAAAGTAAACTACCAATAAATCATAATAGTTGGATTTAATTCTCATCAAGTCTTATTGAAAATAAGTTCTATAAAATCGTTGCTAAAAATAATTTTTTATGACGATTTTTTGCTTATCTCGCTAAAAATTAACAATTAGTAACTTTTTTTTTGTCACGATTTTTATAAATTGTCGCTAAAACTTGCAATGAGTGACGTTTTTCTGTGACGATGTTATTGAAAGTTAAAAAATAATAATTTTTTTGTGACAATTTTTCTAAACCGTTGCTAAAACTTATAATTAGTGATATTTTTTGTGACAATTTTCAAATTGTCGCTCAAAATTAGCAATTAGTGACTTTTTTAAATAGTGTTTGATGAAAAATGTCATAATTCTCATAGAACCTATTGGACAATAAGTCCACTTATTAGGACCCACATGTAAGTCTCCCCTTCTCCCAAAAAAAAAAAAGACTCTTTAGGTTGTTGCCAAACAAAGATAAAATTGATTGACCCATCTCAAATAAAAAACAATATCGATCACGGCCATTCTTTTGTGAAAAAATTATTCATCCCCTAATTTTGTCCTCCCAATTCTATTCTAATGATGTGAAATTATGATGAACTAAAAATGAGAGAGAGAAATAGGAGTGTGGGACCGTATCAAATGGATCTTAATCACATCATTGAAGGTAGAACTGAGGGGCCGCAATTAGGAGGAGGTAACAAATCTCTTGTTTTTGTGTGTAAATTGATAACGCAGTTTTATTACAAACACATACACTAAGGGGTTGTTTGGCAAGTTACTAAAAAAATATACTTGTCTTTTTATCCTATTTAGGGGTAGTTTGGGATATTCTAAATAAGTGTATTTTTTAAATTTTTATTAAAAAAAATATATAAAAAAGTATAAAGAGTGGGTAGAAAAATAGAGAGGTGATGTTGATTGATATAATCCAAATAAGTGTATGTATGCAAAAAAAAAGTGCACTTTTTTGGTGCATGCCAAACACTTACTTAAATTACATCATTCACATCACATCTATATTATTTTACACATCTTGTCATAAAAAAATAAAAAATTATTAAAATATTCTCAAACAACCCCGAACACAAAAGATAGTTTTACTATAAGGACTTTACTTCAGATCCCCAGTGACGTGGCGCGCTACAAAAAAAGAAAAAAAAAATAATTTTTTTTTTAGCCAATCATGGGTCTACACGCATGACCCCAACCCCACTAGGAGTCTTAGGCATTTTTCTTACTACAAACGCATACATTTACTAAACATAAAAGAGAACATTAAATATATATAAATAGATAAAATTTTGTATAATTTTTTTTTTGTAAAATCCACTTAAATTATTATTCATTCATATAAATTTTGTGTCAATTTGCGTAATTCATTTCTATTTTCCTTCATTTTTATTATTGAAGAGAATAATATATAACTTTCCACCAACCCCACTCATTTATTTATTTATTTTAAAAGACTCAAGTAGTCTGTCAACTTGAATATTCTTTCATTTTTTTAGTTTTTATTTTTTGATTTACATCAAATAGGTTGATCATATATTTCTTTCTTGATAGACAAGTGAACGGCTAAGATTGATTTGCAACTCATGAAAAATTGGAAGAAGAAGTTGATTCTTGTTTGGCAAGCAAATAATAATAATAACAATTTAAATTAACAAGATAGATATTAATAAGTGAGGAAATACTATGATATATCCTTTAAAGGGAAAATAATATGCATTTTATAATTAAAAAAACATAATTTTATAATTTTTGAGTCATATTTAAAAAAAAATCATAACCAAACAACACATAAACTATAACTAAATATCACTTGAGTGATAATTAGATAATAAAATTAGTCATAATTAAAGAAAAAATAACCTAACTTAAAAGCGTATATGATAAAGACGTGTATAGTAAAATTTTCACGTAAAAATGTCATTAATATTAGTCAATGAGTTATACTAAACATTCCAAATACTCTGTCAAATTTTTTACCAAACTTTTCACATGAACATAAGACCTACATATTTAAATTTTTGTGATTTCACACCCATATAAAAAACTTAATAAATTATTTATAAAAATGCTAGAAGTTCCAAAAATTCTACCAAAAATTTTACTAAATATCTGAAACCCACATGAAACTCACATTGTGTGAGTCCCACACTCATATGAGACATTTAATAAAACTTTTGATAAAATATTTAGAATCTCTACCATTACCCAATTATTTAACATCCATAACATTTTCTTGCTCAATTAAATCGATGACATGTCAACAAACGACCTTGTAGCACGTGACTATATAATATATTCCTATCTCGACTTGCGTGTGACACTAACTCTCTCACCTATTGGATTGTGTTTTTCACGCAGGCTTGTGGCAAGTGGGAATACTACAGTACCGTGGAGAGCAAGTCCGATCGAACGATTGAGATTTTTTATTGTCCATTGCAATACACGTGTCACCATCAACACCACTCACCAGTATGCGGCTAGTCGCTTGGGATTCCGGCTGTTTTCCGGTATCTTCGGTAGATACTCTACAAATGAGTAAATTGCATTGACTTACCTAATGCTTCAAAAATATAAATCAATTCCATAAGTTTAATATAATTATAAGTTAATAGGATATGGATTACACCCACAATAATAAATATATTCTATTGATTCTTTTTTTTAGGGTAAATTTGCAGATAATTTTTTTAATTTTATAGTATTGTTGTGATGTTTAATGTAAAATAGTCAATATCATTTTTAATCATCTATACAACTAACAAGATAAAAATGGACCACATGTTATATGAATAAAGAGCTACAATAAATCAATTGTTGGACACAAAATGCATAAATTTTATAACATTTGTCAGTGTTCCCTTGAAACCTTTTCTCTACTAGTATACATTTAGAGTTATTTTAGAATCTAATTATTTTAGTTGACTTTTAATAAAAATACATAAAAAATAATAATTAATAATTAACTTTTTAATAATTATTATTTTATTGGGAAAAATTTGAATTGGGAGTTGTGCAGCCGTAATTGTTGACTTTTGGTGAATAGTGTTAACTTTTTAGCTTTTTGAGTAAATTTTTGACTTTTTAGCTTTTTTGGATCTTCCTAAACTTGGCCTAAGTGAATAGGATATGGATCACACCCACAATAATAAATGTATTCTATAGATTCTTTTTTTTAGGATAAATTTACAGATAATTTTTTAAAATTTATAGTACTGTTGTGATGTTTAATGTAAAATAGTCAATATCATTTTTAATCATCTATACGACTGACATGTTATATGAATAAAGAGCTACCATAAATCAATTGTTGGACACAAAATGCATATATTTTATAACATTTGTCAGTGTTCCCTTGAAACCTTTTCTCTACTAGTATACATTTATGCTGTGTTTGGTTGGGGTTTTTGGGGTGGGATTTGGAAAAGGAATGAGAAATGTAATCCTATTTATGTTTGGTTATAATAAAAAATATATGAGAAAAGAAAGGGGGTGAGAAATAAATAAAGAAATAGGAGACTTTTTAGGACATCAATTCTATTTTATAACCAACACAACCAAACATAGTTGGGATTTGGAATTCTATTAATTCTTTCTCCTTTTCCTTTCATTTCCATTTCCCTTTCCATTTCTCTTCTCAAATCCCCAACCAAACACAGCGTTAGAGTTATTTTAGAATCTAATTATTTTAGTTGACTTTTAATAATAATACATAAAAAATAATAATTAATAATTAACTTTTTAATAATAATTATTTTATTTTTTATTTTTTATTTTTTATTTTTGACAACTTAGCCTAATGCCAGATTTTATGAGCGTTTGTAGACTTATTCAATATTTTAACAAATAAATCAGCCCACAATCTAAATATGTCAAATACGTGAGATTCAGCGTAATTATTTTTTAAATCTCATGGAATTAGTATAATTTATTTCTTTACAAATTTAGAAGAAAGAAAATCTTATAAATAATAATAACTAATAAAATAAAATAAAATAATAAGCCCACAATAAGGGGATCCTCCTCCTATAAAAGTGTGATTCCAACCAAATCTCTTTTCCTTTTCTTTGCAGCTCAAAACTCTGACTCTCTCCACCTCCTCCTCCTCCTCCTCCTCCATCTTCTCTCTCTCTCTCTCTCTCCTACTGGTTTGATTTGAGGTTTTGGGTTTTGGGTTGGTGTGGTTTGGTTTGGTTAAAGGTGTGTCCTTAATTCTTCTTCTTTTTCAGTTATATAAATCTTGAAGACTTATTCTCTCATTTCATCTATTTTTTAGGTAACTTTCACTCAGATTTTTACTCCCCAAGTCTTTAAGCTGCCATTAACTGTTTTTCCAGTCTTTTAAGGACTCTCTCTCTCTCTCTCTCTCTACTCATTCAAATCCTGTTAATGGTGAATCGTGAAAAACGTTTTCAGCAGAAATGAATCGAAACGTTTCGTCTCCAATCAAATTCACAGAGCACCGAGACGTTACCTTCAAGCTGGTGCCGCCGAAATCGAAGCAGTTTCCGGTGGAGATGAGCGCCAAACCGCCGCGAGTTGTTCGGATTTACGTGACTGATGGTGATGCAACCGACTCGTCGAGCGGCGAAGAGGACTTCAATTTGAATGTTCGGAGATGGAGAGTGAAGAAGCATGTGAGTGAGATCAGAATTGAGGATTGTTGTGATGATGAGAATCGAAGTGGTGGAAGGGTGAACAAGAAGAAGAGGCCGAATCGGCCGAGGAAGGAGGCCAATAAGCCGAAGAATCGAATTCCGGCGGCGACGGCGGAGGGGAGGAAGTTTCGCGGCGTCCGGCAGCGACCGTGGGGGAAATGGGCGGCTGAGATTCGAGATCCGGTACGGCGAGCTAGGGTTTGGTTAGGGACTTACAACACCGCGGAAGAGGCGGCGATGGTTTACGACAAGGCGGCTATTCAAATCCGCGGCCCAGACGCTCTCACAAACTTCATCAAACCTCCGGCGAGGGCTCCGCCGCCTCCGGCGAATTCTCCTCCGCCTCCTCCACCGCCGGAGATTGATTTGGCGGCGGTTTCCGGCTACGATCATATAGTTAGATAAAGAGTCTCGTAACGTATCGTCTCCGACGTCTGTTCTCCGGTTTAGTCCGCCGGAGGAGGCGGAGCCACCGGTGGCAGTGGCGGAGATTGGGAGTGTTGTGGATGATTGTTTGCCGTTGGATCAATGTTTCTTGAATGATTTCTTCGATTTTCGGTCTCCATCGCCGATGTTGTTCGAGGAAGTGAGAGTGAGTTTGCCGGAGATTGATAGTGTTTTGGGGACTGATTTGTGTGATATTTCGTCGGTGAGTTTGAATTTGGATGATGATTTTAGGTCGATTTCGTGGAATGTAGATGACTTCTTTCAAGATCCTCTCGTATTGGTTTGAATGTTGGGAAGTTTTTTCTTTCTCTTTGCCGAGAAAATGTGTGGGAAAATCTTCAGTGGAAAATTTGAGTACATATTTGTTTTTTTCTTCTTTTTATTTTATTTTATTTAGTTCTTGGTATTTATCAAAGTGTAATGATTTATCTTCTCTTATCTGAATTTGGAAATGTGTGATATTGGAAGTTTTATGCTATTTGAAATTTCGATAAAAATGATTTTTTTGTTAACGGCTGTTCTGAAATATTTCATTAACGAGTTTATTTAGAGGTGAAAACGTTGTGTTAAACCTGTGTGTTGTTAGTTGTTTGATTATGTGGACGTAGATTTATAACGGCTTTGACAATAACAAAAAATTAAATGATTGTAGATTTTTTTACCTATTTTTTCAAGACTTTTTCGTCATGTTTGTTTGACGAATTGAAGAGATTTGTTAATGTTGGATTGTTAGCGAGAGGAAGTAAAAATATGTTTATTTTTATAATAGTGTGAAAGATGATTATTGATAAAATTGTTAAATTATTTTTATATAAAATAAATAAAAAAATTATTTAAATATTAAGAAAATTCTAAAACAAATATTAAAATAAATAGGTACACTTGATATAAAAAAAAAGGACCTGATTTGTTCACTATTTTTCTAATCTCACCCTTTATCCAACAAGCTAATCTCTATATTGAAAGGGATTGTTAACCCCTTTATACCACCAAGGATCCTCTAGAGTGAAATTTTCCTAAAATTTCGCTCCATTGTGTGGTTGAGATTTACTGGCAAGTCACATCAGAAAAATTAATGTGACTTGCCAATAAATCTCAACCACACAATAATGCACTCTAAAAAATTTTAGAAAAAAATCACTCTAGAGGATCCTTACTCCCTTTATACTATTAATCTAACCTCTTATTTTAACACCAAATAGGTTGCTTTTTATAGTCCTAGTAATTCAATCCGGCCGTAAACAAACAGACCTTTGTATTGGTTTCAAAGGGAGGAAGTTTCTTTCTTTTTGTTAAGAAAATGTGTACGAAGTTTCCTTCCCTAGGAAAATATGTGGGAAAATCTTGAATGGAAATTTTGGGTACATATTTTGTTTATGGTAGAGAAGGCCAAAGTAAATTTTGTATAGATTAATAAATTTGAGTGGTAAGAAAAATTTTATAGAATAGGGTTCATTTTATAATTTTTTTTTTTTTGTGTGTGTGTGTTCGTAACACAATTATTTTGTACATAATTCACGTGTAAGATGATATAACTGTTTTCATCTCAACCAAGTGATTTATAATTTTATTTTATTATTATTATTTTTTTAAGTTTATCCAATTTACATAGACTTGTATCATTTTGAATGTTTTTCATGTAAGTGTGGATGGACAAAGGTTGGGCCAACATTGTATCATTTAGTAAGAATATATGTATCATTTTAAGTTTAGTTCAAATTGACGTATGGGTTCCCACCCTCCTTGGTGGAGGATTTAGCTTAAAGGGAGGTTTTTATTGTTTTGTAGTTTTTGCTTTCCACCATCTTCCAAAAAAAAAAAAAAAAAACCCTAACATATGGGTGTTAGGGTTTTTTATTTTTTGTATGTGGTTCTTAGAGCATTATTAAATGAATTTAGTCCAATTAACAAATGTTAGAATTCGAACAAATGTTTGAATGTTTAAATTTAAGCAACTACCTTATCTATTTTATTTTTCTAATATATTATATAAATAAATAATATATAAATTAAAATTAATATTTTATAAATAACACAATTAGACGAGTTAGAATTCCTTATTCCAAGCATAACTAGAAAAACTCAAAATCCCAAATCGTCACAATTTTATAAATAGATCAAAAAACATTTATTTCAAATCTTAAAAATGATAGATTGGATTCAACAATTTGAATTCTGTAGCTTTGTTTTTTTTGTACATGTACGTAGTGTGGAGGCATGATATGATATGAGATTATGGTTGCTTTGTTTGTACTTTTGAATTATTATTAATTAATTTAATCATATAGTTAGATTGGTGTGTACTTATATATTTATTAAATAAATAAATTTTGTGAGGGTGCTCTACTACTCATGAGCGTGAGGATAGTCAAAAAGTTGATGACAAACCTCTCTCTCGAAACTTTTGTTCATATGTGAGTCTGGGACGCTCCTCTGCATGCTTTTCTCACTGTATTATTGTAGGCACAAGATACACATTTATTTTTATTTTTTTAAAAAAAAAGAAAGAAAAGAAAAAGAAATTTTATTACACTAATTATTTTTGAAGTTTGAAAAAATATACACACACCAAGTTTTGTAAATTTTGATAATTACACTGTTCTCTTGAAATTTTAATTCATACTTAAAAAAAAAGTTGAGTATTAATCTATTTTTTATGACAATTATGAAGGCAATTTTAATTCATGAGACTTCAAGTGAATACAAGAAAGAAAAACAAAATCACAAGTAGGGTAGTAGGGTTGGTTTTTCCTACTCGCTTATTATTTTGGTAGTTTAAGATGAGAGAGGTAGAAAGAACTGAAAAGAATGTGATAAAAACTAGAATCTATTATAACCTATTTTTGAATTAATTCATCCAGAAAAACAAGAAAGAAAAGAAAAAGATTAGGAGTTTGGTGTAAGCACAAACCGTGCAAGGATTTTCTATCTTCAAATATTTCTACCCTCTGTTTCAATTCATTTACAACTATTAGATATGTCTTGAGATTTTTAAATCTTAAAATTTTCTTATGATATAATGGTTATGAATGAATTTGGATAAAGAGACGTAAATATTTAGGGACAGAAAATCCTTACTAGCACAAACCCTTAAACTCATCCTTGCACGACCTCAAATCTACTACTTTCTTGATGCAATAGGAAGTTTGGTGCAAGTTGTACTTGTGCTTTTTTTTTTCTTTTTTTCTTTTTTTTTTCTTTTTAGAACATGGAAAATATTATATTAATAAAATAATAACAATACATAAGTAAGACTTCAAATGGCCATCTCAACTAAATAATAAAACAAAAAACAACAAAAGATAACTTCGTCAAAAACAGTTACTATCTAAGGAAAACCATCGATTTGGTAAAAAATGTAGTCTGGAAAATAAAGTCTGCTTGAAAGTTCGTCGTTCCCATTGACGTCGCTCCCGTCGCTGTTGCCCAACTCCACTGTCGCTGCCACATAAGAAGGAAGTGCATCCACAATGGTATGAGAGAAGGCTTGAGAGAGGAGAAAACCATTGTGAGTGTCGAAAATTTAAAAATTTATGTCAAAATCGGAGGAGAAAATTCTCAAAACCCCTATTTCGGACATAAAAAGTCCAGATCTACACTCTAAAACTGTATATCTATATTCTAGGAGTGTATATCTATATTTTAGAAGTGTAAAATAGGTCGCCTGAATGTCGCCAAAATATTGTCAATACATGACAGAAAATCACCTAGAGAGAGAGAGCCTCTCTCTGAACCTTTACAAGCCCCGTTGTACTTGTGCTTAGTGCAAGTGGATCGGTATAATAAGTTCATGTTTGAATTCTTGGCATGTATACGTATAATTATGGCTTTGTGTTGGGTATACCTCCTTATTGGAGTGTGGAATCCAATTGGTTTGTTAAAAGAATTTTAATTTGGTTTGGTTTGAGTATAATATATTTTTTATATATTATATTTAATTTGTGGAGACCCAATTTAATTTGGATACAACTAAGATTTTGATAAAATAAAACCAAGATTCAACAATATATATATATATATATATATTGTTTTAGTTTTCCGAAAATCAGTGTGTGAGGCAATAGTTTTTTGATTATCCATTCTTGGTAAGTGTGCTACAAATTGATTCAAGTTTTGTTCTTCGAGAGCACTGCTATTCGACTACTACTGTGTGAAACTTTCTTTACTTCGAATTTGGTTGGTTCATAGATTTGATTTGGGTCTATTATTTTGGATATTCTTCAATTCTGATTTTGAAGATTTTGGTTCATCTATTTGGTGAGGTCTTTTCTCTTGTTTATTTGTGATTATTTAGAATTTACCTAAGGGTGATTTTGTGAGACCATTCGTGTTTTGTTTGTAACCGTTTGGAAATTATTTGGTTGATAGTGGAATCGGATTTCAATCTCGTGCCCCTCACTACCAATCCCCTCACTATTAATCCCCTCACTACCAATCCCCTCACATTGAGGAAACCAGGTAAAAATTCTTATGTTGCTTTTGATTTAATTTTTCCGCATTAACTTTTATTCCCATTGATTGATTTACTTGTGGGAATCATCGATTTTTCCTAACAACTGGTATCAGAGCTTACGTTGTATTTGGGTTTATTTATTTGTGTAAATCAATAGAGGTGAATGTGTGTCGTATGTCTAGCTTCAATGGAAGCAATTGGGTAACTTGAAAAACTAAAATGGATGACCTATTATTTTGTAAATATTTGTATGGACCCATTGAGGGTGATAGTGGCAAACCCGAGGGTATGAAAGATGATGAATGAAATAGGCTTAATCAAAAAGCCGTTAGTGTTATCCGTCAATGGATTGATGACAGTGTGTTCATCATGTTGCTACTGAAACTTCAGAACATGATTTATGGAAAAAATTAGAAGGCCTTTATGATAGGAAATCAGCCACCAATAAAGTTTTGCTATTTCGTAAGTTGGTTAATTTAAAATATAAAGAGGGCAATCCTATTCCGGAACATCTGAATGAAATAAAGAGTATTGTTAACCAACTTGCTTCTATGAAAATTATTTTTGATGATGAGTTGCAGGCTTTGATGTTTCTTAGTTTTTTGCCCGAAAGTTGGGAGACTTTGGTTGTAACAATTAGTAATTCGGGGTCCAATAGAGTTATCACAATGGGCCAAGTCACTAGTAGCCTGTTGAATGAAGAAACTAGAAGAAAATCAGCGGGTTCCTCTCATTTAGAAGCATTTGTTATGAGAGGTCGAAGTAAAACAAGGGGGAGGAGTAAGACTCCTCATGGTCGTGATAAAAGCCATGACAAATCAAAATATGGTTCTTTTTCAAAGAAAGACATTGAGTGCTATTATTGCGGTGAAAAAAGGCACATGAAGCGGGAATGTCGAAAGCTCAAGAACAAAGGGAAAATGCGTGACAAGAGTGTGGATAAGAAGCAAGAAGACACAACGGCAGTTACTACCGATGATCTCATGGTCGTTTGTGAAAATGATTGTATCAATTTTGTGGGCTAGGAGAGCAATTGGGTGATTGATTCCGGTGCTTCTT